ATTAATATTAAACTAATTATTTTCAAAAAATTTGAGTTGTTTTTAGAAACTCTTGAAAAAAATGTTTTATTATTAAATCATGTAGAAATTACAGCAAAAAATGATCCAGAGTTGAATAAAATTATTGCTGTAAGAATTTTTTAATGCATTACATAATAGTATGTTTATTTATTATTTATAATTAATTAGATTTTTTTTCTAGGCCTTTGATTTATCTCCAGGTAAAATAAAAATAACAATATTATATTTTTATAATAGTAATATATAATAAAATTAATAATTAATATTATTTATTTATACTATTAGATGAAGCTAATAAAATAGGACCAGATTATCATTCTGTCTATACTTATTTATCATGGTCATTGAAATATAATAGTAGGGATTTGATTGATGAAAGGATGGACATTGGTGAGAAACCTGAATTAACTAGTAAAGGTTTTATTTAATTAATTAATCTCAATAAATTTATTTATCCATTTGCTACTTAAAGGACATTTACTAATACTTTTTTCTTATTTTTTTACTCATAATAAAGGCAAGGTTATACTAAAAAGTTTTATTGATCATTTAATAAACAATACAAATGAATTGTTTACACAAAGACAAAGAAAATTTATTATGCAGAAATTATATTTGCTTAAACAAGCACTTACACCAGGTGGAAATGAAAAAATCACTATAGAATCATCAACTCTAAGTAATCCATTATCAATACCATCTGATTTACTTAAATCTGTTACCACCTCCCTGAATAACAACAACAATGACAACAACAATGACAACAACAATAACAACAACAATAACAATAACAATAATAATAACAATTAAAGATGAGAACAAGGATTATGATTTTTTCCTGTGACATAAGGTAAAATATTTTTGTGCTCAAACTTAATTTTGTATCTTGTTTTGCAAAAGTGTAAGATTTTACAATAAACGTTTATTATCTTATAACACATAAAAAATATAATAGGCATAAAAATAAAAAGGTGAATAAATAAACATAAAAAAAGTAAGGGTTAATTGAATTAAAATGCATCATAGTTAATATCTTGAGACAGATTTTGCTGATTAGTATCAACATTATTAACCATGACCAAAACCAGAGTGATAAGTTATTTTTATTTTGTCCTGAACAATTATCACATGTCACATATAGATCTTTTTTGAAGAAAATCAAAAACCATATTCAAAGTTGTATTTGCCCCTTTTGATATTCCTTCTGGTAATTCATCTTCCCCTATTGTATAATTTAGCTGAAATTATCTCCATTATCTCTTTGAGTACATATACCAAAGATATTTATTTTAAAGGAATTTTAAAATAAATTGAGCCAACTTGTTGAGGTGAATATGGAGTTAATGTTGGATTATTTTTACATTTTTTTCTAACATTATTATAATGTTGTCTTTCACAATCTGCAGCTGCAAGATGTTCATCAAATTTGAATTGCATGTCAATCTCTTCATCCTCATTTAATGATTTTAATTTAAACTAAAAGTTTTGCAATTTTCACATAGATCATTTGAAGAATTTAAAAACTTAATGTGTGGTGTTAATTGAGTCCAAAGTTTGTGAAAAGTTTTATACTTTATATTCAGTATAAATGTGCCAACAAGACTATCCTCAAAACATTTTTCATATTCATGAAAAACTAAACTATAACTGTTTTGAGTTCCTAGATAAATATATGGGTCTGAATTATCATGAAGTCTCATTGGAGATGGCAATCCATGTAAATCAGCATAGTTTAGTATAAAATTTTTCACACTTTCTGCCACTTCAAAATCAACAAATGCTCATGACTTAAGTTTGGAAATATTTTTTATATTGCCATGTTGACAATCATTTAAACCATTTTTTTTTAAATGTCTTTGCAAAGCTTTTAGTACATCTATCTTAATATCACATAATTTTAAAAATACAGGTTGATAAATGGGTATTGTTTTCATTATATTTATATTTGTAATTAATAATTGAATTTTCAGTTTTGTGTTGAAATACCATTAATTGTGTTTTGATAGAAAGATCTTTTTCTTTTTTATTTAGACTTTTAAATTCAAAATATCTTTCAAAAAAATTTTTAAAGCCTATTTTTTCAAAGCAATTTTGTAAATCTTCTGATGTTTTACGACAACTACATTTTGAGCTTTGGAAAAATAATTTTAAATCATCAATTACACTAATTACTAAATCATTTTGTTCATAATCTTCTAATAAATTGTATTCTGGTGTTAAATCAATTAAAGACATGTTTTTAAATTGTATTTTGAGATATAATAATATTGATTTAATAATTATTTTATTTGATTTATGAAATTTATTCAGCTTAAAGCAAAAAGTTTTTCGGGGGTCAATTTTCCTTTTTCTGTGTAACAAATTTTGATTTTGTATTTACACAAAATGAGTTATTTACCTCG